GTACAAATAGTTGTTATTGGGTGATTAGTGTTTTTTAAATTTAGTCTTATTTAAATAACTTATTCTCTATCATGTGTCTTCTCAAGTATACTGAGATTGCATATCCCTGATCTGTGCTATCTAAGAGTCAGGGCTTTGCTAGAAAGAAAAAACCTTGGCTCTCAGTGCTGTGAAAGAATATTCCAGTAAGAGGAAATGCCTGAATTGCAAATGGGAACACAGTTGAACCTATAAACACAGAATATTAACTTGCACTTGTATTTTCTCATGACGTGGGTGCAGCACTTGGTGTTTTGTCCTGTCACTTGGGATGTCAGGCTATAGTCGTGTGTTTGTGCATTAAGCAAAGCAAAACTTGTTGGGACACACACACAGTCTGGCATCTTCAGTCGCAACACTAAACTAACATTTCTGGAGTCCACTTCAAAGAAAAGCTGTTCGTGCTGTCGATCAGAAGTAGATGTTGAGTCATAAATATCTGTTTGCATTTGTGCGGTGCTTGTAGCTAATCGGGAGTTATGCCCTTGCAAGAGGTCTAGCTGCTGGAGCACTCAGGGGTGCTGTGTGAACAATCTTAAGGCAAATGCCCCTCTTCCTTTTGACATTTTAACAGTCTGAGGAATGCAGTGGGTGTCAGTGGGGAATAATCCAACTGGCATGCCACTGTGTCAGAACACGATTCAGAAGCTGCTTGTGTAAGTAATCAGGCACTTGTGTGTTATGAAATGTAGTGAATTATAACATCAGTAAATATTTCTGTAATATTTCTTGTAAATAGTGTTTTGTTAAGCTTTATTTAAATAGACTTAATGAATTGGAGGCTCTCATTCATCTGACAGAAATCAAAGCCATTGTAGGAATGTGCCTCCTATTGTCAATAAAAGCATATTCAGACTTCATTTTGGAGTGGTGATACTGAATTTAGGAATTGCAGGCAGTTCTTCTGAATGTTGCCTGTAGGCAAGTTTACCCCATAGTTTTGGGGCAAGATTTGTGTTTTCTGATTCAGATTTCTGGGAATCTGCCTGTTATTACTGTATTTTTGCTCAGTGTTCACTGCAGCCTTCGATTCTACTGACTGGCACTGTAAGCAGGCTGGCACCTGCCGAGCTGTCAGGAATTCTCCCTGTTCTTTTGAAGCAGCTAAAACGGAGTAGATATTTGGGAGATTGGGTAAAGAGAAATTTGGACCTCTCTTGCTGTGGCTAAGAGGGGCCAAAGAGGCTTGTAGTGACCATAGAACATCGGCCCTGCAGTAGTGATGCTCTGGGTACTTGGGTCATAGTTATTTCAATGCAGGTTAGTAGCAGACATTAGAGCATGCAGCAGGTTTGCAAGAGGAAGCTGCTTATAAGGATATAGGCTTGTAGTGGTCTCTGCACAAAACATTATGCAGAATGAGCCCTGTATGGTTTGATTTTGTGTGTCATGTTTATCTGTTGAGACTCTGTTACAAAACAGAGTTAGTGCACCCAGAAGTGAGTTTGTCTGGACTTGATGTAAAAATTTCTTGATGCTTCCCTCCTCCGCCCACCCCCCAGATAATCCAAACAGCCAAGTGACTAAAGAATAGAGGATGACGAGATATGATGCATGCACATAGTTACAGCACCATCCCTCCATGAGCTGTAACTGTGCTAGACTGATGTATCATTTAGCACACCATCACTGTTCTTCACTTCTAGATAAAGTATTGCCAACCGTATACCTAAACCACATTTACTGTCTCCATTTTTTTAAATAAGGCCTAGAAAGCATACACAGTTTGCCTGGTTTTGATGTATGTGTTGATCTTTACTTAAACTTCATCAGTGAAGTTTAAAAATGTACTTTTAAATGACAGCTTGTATAACAATTTTAGTAATTAATTCTAGGACATGGGGCTTTTAGGAATGTCAAGTATTGCAAGACGTGGGAATAAACTGCAAGAACTGGCAGTACTGCATACAGCACATGTCACTGATTGGATCCTTACTGCAGCTTGTAGTAGTTAGTGCTTGAAGGCATTGCCAAACCTCACATGGCTGCCTCTCAGCATCAGTCTTAGACCTCAGTTGTTGCTGAGGTTTGATTAAGAGTGGGATGATAATAAGTTGCCTTAGCAGCTGAGGGTGGGGGACTAAAAGAATAATTACAAATATGAATTGACTGGGCACTGACTTAAGGCTGTAGTAGCATGTACTACTGTGTAGTGTGTACTTGATAGATTGGCCAGCTGGAACTGTTACGATGATTTGGGTCTGATCATCTGTCATCAAAAGATCATTTTGGGGATGTTTGTTTGAATTTTGAAATTAGTCTGGGATAGTTGGATTGTCAGAGTGGCTACCTACCGGTCTTGGGTGGTCTTTGGTACGTTTGTCATTGGGTGGTGTGGTGGAAGGTACAGATATGGTAGCAAGAATCTTTTTGGTGTCAATAGAAGTGGTTAAAATATAAAAGGGTATGAAGTAGCTATTTGTCTTTAACAAAATGTCTTTCCTAAATTAATAAAATAATAAAAAATTAGGGATGTCATAAGATAGCAGCGAATCTGCTCTTCTATCAAGATTCTTCTTTCCCTGTGGATTCTTGGGTTTGCTAACAGGTGATCTTGTGCCAAAGCTGTAGTGTAACTTGTTTTAAGAGGATGGGTCATGAGAAATTGTCTGACTTTGATGTCTATGTATACATACATATCTACACACAAAAAAAATCCCCCAAACCCCAGTAAGTCAGTTTGCTGCATTTGGTTGGAATGAGATATCACAAGCAGCCTTCGTATTGCCTTATCAGTGGCATAAATGTGATTGCAAGGAAATAAAATGCTACACTTGGCATTCTTGTTATGGATACAGCATATATTGACAAAACTGTACCTTTTGCTTTGGTATGTTTTAATTCCACCCAGAAGTGGAAATGTTGCAACAGGAGCACAGCTATGTTGCTCACATCCTGTATTGCATTCCTTTGATGCATCTTTGGAGAACATCTTGAAAACCAGTGAATTTTCAGTGTTTGTTTCCCTTCACTGAAGTAGCTTTTCTCCATCAGTAGCAGCTCCTTTCTTTAAAAGAAAATACTTTTTCATCAGCAAAGGTCTAACTTGGGGAACAAGAACTAAAATTGGACAGACAAAACTCATGTCTAACGAGTTCTTTAGCTCATCTGGGGTGAATATGCAGGCAAGCGCTTAAGGAGAATTAGACGTTAATGCTGGAGTGGAGTGGGAATGTTTTCCTGTACAGGCAGACCAGAAACATGCATGAGAAAACTTAGAAATTGTTGCCCTGTATTGTTTTCATTCTGCCCTGGCCTGTTAGGACTTTTGAGTCCTTGATGAATGGGTAGATGTTGTACAACTGAAATTTACAGTTGAGTTTGTATTCTGGAACTTCTCTGCGTTAGACTACTGTTGAAATGAATAATCTTAACTTTCATCTGTAGAGGCTTACTAAGCAGAGCTGATAACTTTGTAGAGAAATGTCTTGCACTGATAATCCGTCCCTCTCCCCCCCATGTTTCTTCTGAAAGCTTTGTAATCTCAATATTAAAAATGATAGACTTTTGGCAGAGCTAAGAATGCTTTCCTAAATCCTGGATTAACCAGTAACCCAGCAGTTAGTGTGCTCTTCTGGTAGTAGGCAGTTCCATTTGTTGTGTTGGGTTTTTTGATTTTTGGTGGGTTTTTTGGTTGTTCAGGGGTTTTTTGTTGTTTGGGGTATGGGGGTTTTTGGTTTTTGGGGGTCATTTTTTTTGTGGTTGGGTTTGGGGGGTTTTTTTTGTCTATTGTTTGAATATTAGTCCTGAATGGCAGTGAGTGCCTGATTGAGACTTACCTCTTACTTACCTCTTTCCTTTCTGATCAGTTTTTGAGTCTTGGTAAGCAAATTGAGTGAAGGATAGACTTGAGTCTCAATTTCCAGCCTCATGGCCTCTACTCAACTGCTGACTCTCAGGAGTTGGCAAGAAGGTTTAGCTACAGAAAATAGGGGAGAGGGTTTTCTCGTTTCTGTGATCTGTACTCTTCTGTTGTTGAGCTGCTGCAAATAGGGCTGCTTCTCAATAGTGAAGTAGAAGTATTCTGTTTACTTCTCTATTAAAGATGGCTTTAAGATCACTTTTGTTTCCTCAATACACTGTTCTCTTATGAAGCATATCTCTAAAATAGAATCTTTATATTTGAAGGGATTTCTAAATTTAGGAAGTCTTATATTGGAACTGATACTGTTAACACCACCACATCTTGTTGATGGTGTATTCTGATAATTGCAGCTAAGGAATGCTTTTAGCATGAATGGTCTTGATATGAAGCATGATACAGAAGTTAGAGATTCCTAGGGACTTGAGACATTTGGGTTCCCCCCTCCTTCATCTTGCTTTAGAAAGTACACACTGTGTGTGTGTGTATAATTTCTCTTTAATTCGGTTTTAATAGAGTATCCTGAATGATAACTGCGTGAGTTCAATTAGTAGCAGAGATGGTGAGCTGAAGAGAAACTTTGTGCTCTGTACCCTCTTCCAACACTGTTTTAAACCATACTCAGATGAAAGAAAAAACACTTGTTCCAAAACCCTTTTAATAGATCTGTTTCTTAGATCCAGTAGTTTGTTTTTAAGATATGTTAAAAGGGAAGACATAATAATCAAACTGATCTCTGTAATATGAATGAATGACTTTCCTTTAGTACTGCTGATCAAATGAAACGCTAGCGAGTGTGTTATACCAGGTATTTCATCAAGGGTCCTCAGCACCACTTCATAGCTGTCTTTTGATCTGCCATGTCTTCCAACTAGTTTGGCTAGTGGAAATGCTCTAGGAGGTGAGGTAAGTGTAAATATTTTGTAGTCTTATGTTTAAAAAAAGAAATAAAAATTTGCAAGTTTCTTCGTATGCAGTTGATCTTCATATGTTAGGTCTGTATCAGAATAGGTAAACTGTGTTAAATAAGACAGCTCGATCCAGAATGGCTCATTCACTAGCTAAAACGAATTGTATTTATTTATTTTTTTTCCTTCAGGAGTTGTAGAAGGTGATTTAGCTGCTGTTGAAGCTTACAAGTCATCAGGAGGAGATATTGCCCGCCAGCTTACTGCAGATGAAGTACGCCTGTTAAATCGCCCTTCTGCTTTTGATGTTGGGTACACACTTGTACATCTGGCAATACGCTTTCAGAGACAAGATATGCTAGCAATTTTGCTTACGGAGGTGAGTTACTTTGGCCCTTGAGTAGATTGAATGGGAACTTTATGTAACTGCGCCATTGTTTGCAGCCAGTGACATGTAACTTTACTTGCTAGAAGATAGAGGCTGATATTGTTAGAATACATGAATTGCTGCTTTGTGCCTTTGTTGACATTTCTCCTTAAGAAGCGAGTTTACTTTAAGACTGTATGTATGTTGTGGTCTTGAGGATGTTCAGTTTTCTCATTAATGAGCAATCTTGGCACACATTCTGACCTTACTGGCAGTGGAGTGAGCTATTGTGAGGCTTCCTGTGCTTTGGGTGGGGGAGAGGAAATGCCCTGAAAGCAAAACCCTGAGATCAATGACAGCATAGTTTTTTCTGAGTTTTGTTAACGAATAAGTCTACCTGGTCGGTCTTCCCTGGTTTTCTTGGGAACTTCTCTCCCAGAGAAAGGCAAATTTCTTGCTTTGCAGAATTGCTGCATTTTTTCCCCGCCCTTTGCCCATTTTACAGACTGGTTGGTTCCTCTCTGTGGTCTCCTTGCTCTTGCATGTTCCACTTCCTTGTATATTTTTGTATGGTCCGCCTCACCTCTGGTGATCTTTGTCCACTGCCATATATGTCTTCTTACTAGGCCCATAAGTAATTCTGTTATCTTTTTTGTTTGTTTCCTTCATCTCAGATTTCTGGTTCCTCATCTGATCAGAGCCAAATTTTTATTTTGCCTCCTTCACTCTTTTGATGCTTAATGCAATTCTGAAAGCATGTGTTCCTGAGAAAAGTAGCATGCCTGAGAAGCTCAATAGGATGACAGAAAGCGTAGGGTTGAGTAATTAAAAAGACTAGATGAAGCAAGACAAATGTACCTAAAGCCTTGAGAAGACTATATATATATATGTGGCTAGTATCAGTAGTTTTGTGCTGCTTACATAGCTATCTGGGTGGAGTTACACGTTTAAAAACAAGTTAATTTGCTGAAATACTGTCTTACAGATTTTTCTGTTCGGTTTTGTTTCAGTTTCTAGGAATACTTACTCAACATACCATTTGTGAAAATGCTTAGTAGTGTTTGAGCCACAGTGGTACTTTCCTTTGCTAGGATATTAACTAGTGAAAATGTGTATGTTAAAGTTGTTTTTTTATGTATCTAGTGTCATCCCTGTGTCACTTGCCCTGTATCATTGAATGAGTTCCTGCTGCCAGTGATGATCTGGAGAAATTTAAGTATCTTAGCTTAGTATTTGGGAATATTCTTTGTAGGAAACTGTCTTGTGCTGTGGTAATGAAGTTCTTTGTTAAATGTACACTGGGCTCATGCATAAGTTAAGAGGTATGTTTCCTATTGTTATCTAGCTCTTATCTGTTTTTTTTTGGTTTCCTTTTCCTGCTGGAAGTGGTCACCTGTTAATTCACTTCTTCTATTTAAAGAGGTTTTTAACCAGCTTTATATTATCAGCTACATGACAAATGAGACATTAATTCATTGAGAGTCACTAAACATTTAATCTTTCAGGTTACCAATGTTTATGCTTCTATTGCATTACTTGCTAACAAAATGCTGTCCACTGGTGGTTATCACTCCCAAGTCTATTTAACTAGAAATAATACTGAGTGCAGTAACTGTGTTATGTTACAGGTATCGCAACATGCAGCGAAGTGCATTCCTGCCATGGTGTGTCCAGAGGTCACAGAACAAATTCGTCGTGAAATTGCTGCATCTCTTCATCAACGAAAGGGAGACTTTGCTTGCTATTTTCTGACTGACCTTGTAACGTTTACGTTACCTGCAGGTAGTTACGAAATTCTTCTTACTGATGGAAGAATTTTTTCTTTTTTTTTTTTTTTGGTCACCTAGTTGAGGATTGCTTGTTTTGGATGTATACTTTGACTTTCTGATGGTGGTGCTGTGTGTGTGTATAGGTCTTATTTGTGAAGTTTTAATAGCTTAGGTCAGGTTTAGTAGTTGAATTTGCTTATTAATATTCAGTATTTGCACACTTCAACCCATATGTTGTTCCTGTGAAGTGAACATCTGTTGTATACTTTAGACACAAGGAAATTTAAGAAAAGTGGTATATTCTAAGGAAAGGCTGCGTTTAAAGCTAAGATTGGAGCCCAGATGTTTCTGGGCTCTAAAATGACTTTTCGCATAGCTATGTTAGCTTTCAGTCCTTTCCGTTAAGGCCCAGAGCTGTTATTTGCATTTGTATGTGGTCATAGCAATAGCACTTTTTGAATACTATTGAGATACTCTGCAATCAAGAGAATGTTTGTTTACTAACAAAAAGCTATTAGAAGACTTTTAATCTTCAATAGCTGTTTCCTTTAATAGAAATGCTACCAGAGGTAAGAAAATGCATAGATGGAAACTGTACTAATCAGCAGATCTGTTTGTCTTTTTATGAAGCAGTAGCATTGTTAAGAATTGTATTTGGAACTTTTTTGGTTGAATGCTACCTCATCTCCTCCTCTTCAAAAAGTCTGGATAATAGTTGCCACTTGTATATCAACTATCTGTTTGAGAGGCTGTATTCAGTTGTATTCTGTGGGTCACATATGAGAGGCAGACAGCGTGGGTGTACAAAGTGTCTAGAGACTAACACTTCATTGCTGTTTGGGGGAGAGAAGCAACAGAAGAGTTTTGTAACACGGGTGAGAAATGTTGCTCTTGCCAGAACTGAGGAGTTTGTTCAGTATTTTCAAGAGACATGTCTTAAACCACTGTGCATCTCTTTGACACATGTAATAGCCATTAAATAATTAAGGAATAAGAACGTTCAGAAGCATCTGTACATCAAGACTGTCAGTGTATTTCCACTTCCATCACACTTAGTCAACTGAACACCTTTTGTAGTCAACAGTTAGCAGTTGGTCTCAAGACAGCATTTCCAAGGATAGTGGTATAAATCACACAATCCTATTCAGATATTACCTATATGATGTAGTTTAAGAACCAGTTTCCACACGGTCTTTCAAATAAATGGATAAGATCTTCCTGGCGAGTCAATGCACAGACGTTAAAGTGCCAATCTTCTAAATTGATGGCTGGCCACTGCAAGCCAGTTTTAGTTTAAAAAACCCTAATCAATCATACCAAAAAGCCCCACCCCACAACAGCATGCCTGCACCAAACAATAGTATGCTTCAGTAGCAACTCATATGCCTTCACTTATGTGAAGTCCACATATGGACTTCACTTTTCAAAGCCCTAGGTTGTAAGGTATTGAGCAGGACTGGCAGATATGACACTGGAATTGAGAGGTCTTTGTGCCCTTGAAATACCACTTAGAGGCCAGTCATCATCCTGTAGACTGCCTGAAGGGATGCTAGATGTTTTTGTTTAACTGTTTGATTTACTTCCTTAACTTTCATATATTTAAGTTTCACAATTGTGCTGAAGCTAGCAAAGTGTCTCTAGCTGCTGATCTGCCTAGCAACCCTTTACTACTTACCTTGTATTGAAATGCAGGCCATGAGCAGATCTTCAAGGTGTTGCAGATGTTGTGTGTGTTTGTGTTTTAGAATGTGGGGCAGTGTTTGTTATTTTACATGATACAGAAGTCACAAAAGACTTTTTGTCCATTATACAATTTTCTGGCCTTTTTTTGAGGTAGATCCACAGTTGCAGATTCTGTCTGTAAAGCTCTTGGAACAGTTGTCAGTAGTGGCATTTTCTGTGTCATAGCTTAATAGTTTTCCCACTTCTTGTTTTCTAACCTGCAAACTATGGCCTGCAAACCATTGGGGTTCTCTGAACTATATTTCATTGAAGTCTGCATGAAATGACTAAGGAAGTGGACGTTTTGTACAAGAACAAGTCTCTTGGCAAACTGTACCTGTCCACTGGGGGAGACCAGGGAGGAGAAACCATTTAGATGGGTGGAAAACTATTGCTTAGGATTGAAACTATCCTAAATGTAGTAGGGTTGAAAAGACTCTTTTTTTTTTTCCACCTCAAAGTGGTTCTCTACTTCACTTTCTCCTTCAGAGAAATCCATTCTTACCCTACGCATGCTGTGACGATCCTTTCCGCATAAAAGATATGACAGTCAGTCTGAGATATATCTGCTTCAGTGTGCTTTATGAAGCCTATACAGTCACAAATGACAGATCTGAAAATAGTGGCAGCATTTCAGAGGAGACATAGGGATGATAGGGCGAAAGCTGTTGCATAAGTTCTCCTGAGCATCGGCTGGTAATGTGTCTCTTTTACAGTAACATTAAGTGACTTTTGTATTTGCTTTCTATTTTTCCAGATATTGAAGACTTACCACCCACAGTCCAAGAAAAGTTATTTGACGAAGTACTTGATAGAGATGTTCAGAAAGGTAAATGCTGTGAGAATAGCTAGAATCTCTCCTTGCTTTTCATTAGAGAATATTTCTGTGATTTAAAAAAAAAAAGTGCACGTGTGTATATATGTGGCTTTGTTGCCTGAATTAGTTTTAAATATAGATTTGATGCTTTCAAGTTAATCTTCACCCTGGAATTATTTTAGAGAGAGAGAATGGAGTCTGTAAAAAATCATGTTTGTAATGTATCTTAAAAATCTTTACAATTCAAAAACTTTACAGTTTTAAGTCACAAGCTCTTTAAAGAAAACTGATCAAATCTTTCCACTTCAGTAGCAATCCTCAAACACATGATATGATGCTTTATTTAAGGCTATGGTTTGTTTTGGTTTTTTTTTTTCCTTCTTTTCTTGACAGTATTTTGCCCGAGGAATGCCTTTAGTTATTGCAGTTCACCTATTTTTGTAGTATGAAGGAAAACTTAGTTTTATTCATGTAAATTGTTGAGATTATGCTATTACTGTGCTATTTGTATTCTCTGAGACTTCAAATGAATATGGGTTTTAAAAGAGGCTATTGTCATGTTGCAGAGCTAGAAGAGGAATCTCCCATTATTAACTGGTCACTGGAACTGGGTACGCGCTTGGACAGCAGATTATATGCACTTTGGAATCGGACTGCAGGGGACTGCCTGCTTGATTCAGTACTACAAGCCACTTGGGGCATTTACGACAAGGATTCAGTGCTGCGGAAAGCTCTTCATGACAGTTTACATGACTGCTCACATTGGTAAGTTAGTTTTTATGTCAACTTTAAAGACAGCTTTCCATGTAGCATAGTAGTTGATAGCAGTATAGTATTAAAAAGAAACACAACCACCACTCCCCAATTTACTGTGGGTTGTGTGCCTCAGAGATGTTGAGTCACAGCATGATTCGTGTAGTAATCTAGATCTAGCGTATTCTAAATGATAGCACTGGAAACTTGGACATTCTGAACTCAGTGCCAGTATGTGATATTCAGCACATAGCATTTAAAATAGAGTAAAATATTTTATGCTGTGTGCTTGTCAAGAGTGTGTTAACCACAGTTACTAAGACTGGAATTTCTGTATACTTGCAATGTAAATCATGCGCATGCCATGCCTTGCTGCTTGGTGGAAGCTTTGCAGAAGATTGTTAGTAGAAGATAGCCTTTTATTCCTGTATAAACTTTTCAGTATTTTCATTCCATCTACTTAGTTACAGCTTTATTCAGTATTGCTCTTTTTGTTCCTGTTCTGTCTGCTAAAATAATGGCAGTAAAGCACAGAGTGTTGACGTTTAACTAGTGCTGTCATTTGGCCATAGAATTAATTTATCAGTCTGTAAAACAACTTTTGTTGTTTTACGCTGGCAACCTGCTTTAGTCTGATGCTGTGGTTTGCCTCTGCTAGAGGAAAAATTCTTACAGTTGGACCACCAGCAGTGTCCAACAGCTCTCAAGTGTGTAATGGGACTATGGGAAGAGATTGATAAAGATAACTAATCGCCTGTGTCTTACATTATTTTTCTTATGTTCTTGTAGTCAGGGACAAGACAAACAGCATCAGCAGGCATACTAGAGAGAGAGCCTGTCCCCTTGCTCTATGTGCTGTGCAGGAAATCAACAACAAAGGTTCATTTTAGGGATACCTATAAGTAGCTTTTGTGATTACTGTCCCCAGCCGCCTGCTGCTTGGAGAAGACTCCCCAAACGAGCATCCGGAGCTGGATTCAATAAAGCAGTGCTTCAGTAATAATTCTCCTGAGAACCTGTTTCTGAATGGATCTGTCACTACTTTAGAGTTGTTTATAATGGAGTGTGCGTCTTGACCATGCAGGAATGTCCCTGGCATCACAAGCAGTTCCCCTGAGGCCAGAACAGAAATTTATGATAGATCAGGTTTTGTTCATTATGGTAACAAAACCAAGCATGGTATCCAAAAACATGCTGCAAACTATTGAGGTTTAAACCAATCTTTTAAAATGTTAGTATTAACTGTTGTTGACTTAACTGTTGTATCTAACATAACACTCATTATTTAGAGTGTATTAAATCTGGTTAAGCTTTTTAGTTCATGTTCTAGACAGAATTTGCATTTTACTCTGAATTTACTTAATCTTTCTCCTTACTGGAAGCACAGTTGTTTTTTTTAACTGATTCATGTGTTCCTTTATGGTTTGAATACAGTTGCCTACCTTCAGTCTGGATAATCTTGCTTGCTAGTTTGTTACTGGAAAAATTAGTACAGGTTCTAGTACAAACCTCTACAGAGCTACATCCTTAATAGGAACTGGTCTGCCTGCAGAGGCTGTTAGCAATGGAAATTCTTGAAGAGTCAACTGACATGTTAGTGGCAATACTAGATCAGAATAGAGTCATAATGCCTTTCAAAAAATCCAGATTGAGTCTGTGAGAAGTCTTTTAGTTAAGTTCTGTCGTAAATTGATCATCCTGTACATCCTATACTTGCTGTATAGATTCTATGTGGGAAGATACATTTACTTTTAATTTTTGTAGGCTAGGATGTGCAGCAGATAAGAAGCGCTGTTGTTGTCACTGGCTTTAATGATAATTGCTGAAGGAAGAGGCTCTTAAATGCAATCACTAGTCTCAACAACAGTGTGCTTAAACTTTTATCTAGTGGAATTGTTCTTCAGAGCCTTCACAAAGACGCTTAAAACCAGGTATTTTTATAGTCGGACACAGAACATTCATGTAACTCATTTGGCCTCATTTTGTGATGTTTGTTTAGGTGCTGAACAAAGAATCTATTTACAAGAGGCAGTCTAGTGTCTGGTACTCAGAAAAAGCTCAATAGGGAAGCTCCCAGAGGCTCTGGCCTGTGGAGTCTTTTCCACTCACCTTTTAAATGACTACACTTTTTTAGTTGACTCAAAAGTGTGTTCTGATTTGTCCCTTTTTGTATTCTACCATTAGCTTTTGGTGGAGAATGGGCATATGCCCTAGGTTGGTTTTCAGGGTTTTTTTGTTGTTGGTTTTTTTACAGATGCATTCAGTTCTCCTGTGTTAAACTAAAAAGTTTGTTTTAAATGAGATAAAAATCTTGAGCTTTGACTTCTGTCTACAGAGCTACCTCCTGTGAACATCTACAGATAACTGTGTCTATGGCTGTCTAACTCAAGGAAGAAACTGCTTTAGGAAAACACTTCTGTAGTAGAGCTTTTGTGGGGATAGTTTGGATTTTTTCTTTGTTTTTTTTTTGTTGTTTTTGTTTTCTTTTTTGCCCCTGCCCCTTCTTTTTTTTCTTCCCCTCTCCTCCCCTTGTTTTTTCTTTTCCTGCCTTTGTCCTGTTCCCCTCCACCCCCCCCTTTTTTTTTTTTTTTTTAGCAGAATCTAACTAAGCTTCTTTCAGGAGACCTAGCTATTAATTCATTTAGCACAAGGTGTTAGGTTAGATTTCTGGGGGAAAACAGGCAAAATATCTATCAGCTGCAAAGATGGAGGCAGTTGATCTATTTGGATAGAAACTGGAATGTAGGTAGATCCAGGAGATTCCCTGTAGATGTATTAGAGTGAGAGAGCACAGAGACCTATCAAAATGTCTTACTAATAGGTCTTTAAAGCCATGCAGAAATTTTAGCTGTACTTGGGAAGGCCAGCCTGGTTGGTGACAGCTGTTACATACACCAAGATTTTAGGGTGATTACATCTTTACTGAAAGCATAGGAAAGGTTTCTTCCACACACACCCACTGTCTGTTAATTTTCTCAGATTTTAATTACATGAGTTCATTTCAGTGACTTTTTTAATAAGCTGAACTTCAGAATGGTTTCTTTGTGTTCACAGTAAAGGCCATTGTTTAAAAGTTGGCTTAGCACTCTTCGCTAAACGCGTGTTCCTAATGTGAAGTTGTGGCCTTTCCATAGTGTGGTGATCAGACTGAGTTTAAAATGTTAAAAAGCCAGCATCTGCTTTTCAATGTGTAGGTCATTTTTCTTTTTAATTGATTAAGATAGATAAAACATTAGGACTAAACTAGTGTACAAAACCGCTAATTTTAATTTAAACAGAAAAACAGAAATCCTGTCACTTTAAAACTTTCAGTGTAAATGGGATTAATCCCACTTTCTATATTCGATTCTTATCCTTGCTGCAGTATAACTGTTCCACATAACGTGAAATTACCATACTCTTTGCTCCAAAAACTGATGTAAAACAGATTCTGCCTCTTAACCACGCTCTATTTGAAGTTGATACGCAAGTACTTTGGAGTTAGTTGGCTTGTGATATGGTCAGCAGCAGAGAATACCTGTATTGTTTGTGTGAGAAAAATGAGCAACTCCTCTTAGGTGAAATGGAATGTCTTAGTTATGTTTCCTGTACATCAACACTTAAATAATCCTAAATAAGCCTTCGAAAAACCTATTACAAGAAGTATCAAACTAGCCAGGAGACTGTTAGGAACTTGCATCTATTACAGCATGTCTGCTGTAGGCATTGCGATCCCAAGTGATCTCTTAAATGAGGATTACCAAATGGAGTCTCCTGAAGATTAAAAACCAAAACAAAATCCAGTTTCCCTGACGTATGCTCTCTTTTCTTCCCACTTCTTTACAGACTTGATAAAAAGGATTACAAGCTTTGAATATTGCTATCAAGTGTATGGTGGTTGAGTAAATATTTTTGTCTTTACTACTCTTTCTCTCTCTCCCTAACATTTTAGGTTCTATACACGCTGGAAAGAGTGGGAATCGTGGTATTCCCAAAGCTTTGGTTTACATTTCTCATTGCGAGAGGAACAGTGGCAGGAAGATTGGGCATTCATACTCTCTCTTGCAAGCCAGGTAAGAACTTCTTTATAGGATGTCTGTTAGAAAGGATATTCTAACCTCTGAAAAGAAATTTCAAGAACTCAAAGTATTCTTCAGGAATAAGAATTTTCATGTATAAAGGAAAACATTCCTCTTAAGCCAGTAATGTTAAAGTATTACTAGGTAGACTCTTTTGCCAAAATAGAATCATTTAAAATTCTAATTTTTGATCTTACCATTAAGCAGTACAGTACAAAAAAGTATGGGGCTCTTGGTGCCAGAGTGAATTCTGTAGAATAAACTAATACACAATTGTCTAAATGTCCTGCCTCCTAGCTCCTGCAATACTTACCACCTAGAACAGGCCTACAAATCTGTAAGCTTACACCACTTAAACTTCAGCAAGTTGATGTTTTCAAACTCCCCTCCAAAATGAGATTTCTGTTCCTATAAGCTTCTAGCTATGGGAATATTTTTAGCTCCTCTTTTAAAGTATAAACATGATTTTGGTGTTACTTTCTTGTGATTTGTTTCGGATGTGCTCTTTTCCTATCATCAAAAGGTATTTACCTTAACCTGTTGTCAGATGAATGAATTATTTTTAGACTACATGTTATGTGGAGTTTTACTTGTAACTGCGGAATGAAATATGTTAGATTGAATCTGGGCAATAGGACAAAGAATTATTTCTGACAGATTAAGTTCTTGTGCAAGCTGAAATGTTTTTGCTGCTTTCCAACTGATATGTAATAGTCTTCCAGTCTTTTGTTTTCCTGTCAAAGCTAGATCACTCTTAAAAGCATTTTCTGTCTCAATTTGGAGACTGTTTTTCAAATTGTAAAGTAGAGAATGGTAGGTTCTGTTTTAAGTGATATCTGTCTTTGTGTTTGGTTCAGCCTGGAGCGAGTTTGGAGCAGACACACATTTTTGTACTTGCACATATTCTTAGAAGACCAATTATAGTTTATGGAGTAAAATATTATAAGAGTTTCCGAGGAGAAACATTAGGATATACCCGCTTTCAAGGTAAGCCTTTAGTTTTTCAAATTTAGCTTTAAAAAAGGTTCAGCTATAAATCATAAACATAAAGGAAGTTGAAAGGAGAGTCACTTCAAGCTGTTAGCTGGAAGAGGATGGAATTGTGTTGTAGGTAAATTTGCATTAGCTATTAAAAAGAACAAAACAGTCCCCTGAAAACTTGCAGTTTTTCTTTGTATAATGGGCATGCTGCCTGTAGTCACAGTAAAAATGTGTTTTGACCTCCACTCAACATGCTTTTAGTCTATAATTTATATGAAATATTCTGATTGTGAAAACATATCAAAAGTTGTGTGGTTTGTACTGCTGTAAGACACAAGAGGTTTAATAAATGGAATTTGAAATTCCGTCCGCTTGTGGTGCTATGGCTGTGAATGTTCATTTTGGAAATGAAACTGTATTTAGCATTTCCTGAAGGAGGCTTACAAAGTTGGGGGCGAAGCAGGCAGGTGTTAGCATTGGCGTAGTTTCTCACCAGAGTGACAGTGGTATCTGGGTGCTCTTTCAGGACGAAGGGGCATGCCTTGTCACTCTGCAGCACTGCAGGAGACCTTTGTGAAGCAGCCCTTAAGAGCAGTGAAAAGCAGCCAGCCTTAAAGCAAGAGGCAAGGGTATACAAAGAAGGGTAGAGAAATTGAAGTAGGGTGGAGAATGATGAAGTTGGGCTTTTTTTGTAGTTGATTAAAGTGAAAGAGGTGGTAACTTGAACGTATGGCGTGGAGGCTGAAAGGGAAGGAATTCTGTTCATAAATGCTCTGCCAACAGTTATTATGTGAGGTATAAGATTAGGTACCTTTAGTTAAGATTACAAATTTCACTTTCTGCAAAAGTGAATTCCATGATGTAGTTAAAAGGAAGTGTTTAAAATTTATCTGTGTTTCAGTAATTCACACTTTACAGCAAGTGTGATGTAAATACTGGCCTATTTCTCAAGTAGTACTATAATTTTGCATAGCTTGATCAGGTTCTTTCTGACTGTTTCTCCTAGTCTTCTGAGCAAACAGCCTAACTATCCTTAAGATAAATTCGAAGATGTTTAGCTGACTCAGTCAGGTTTTGCTCAGACATATGTTTGTAGATTTCTAAAGATGCATATTCTATTTTGCAAGCCAAATACGTGTTTGGGTGACTTTCCTCTGTATTACATGCTAACACTTTATTATTTAAAGAATAGAAACATAAGAGGGGATTGGGAGCATCTGTACAGGCTCAGCTGTAAACAAAACCCATGTGGGAAGAACTGTTTGATCAGGCGCTGCGGCTGTGTTAGAGGGTGTTAGGGCGTTTGTTTTGCCCATGGTTCATCTTCCTGGCCTCAAGTATATCTGCTTGATGAGTACCCAGCAGTTGTTTTCATCAATACATCACTATTTATTTATAGCTTACTAGAGGACTTCCCAAAGCATCTCTTTTTGTGATTTTCAAAAAAGTATGCTAACTTTGGAAAGAGGCAAACCCATAATGTATAGAAGAACTCCAAGCTGTGGAGTTAATGTCAAATGTGTAACCTATTATAACTATTTTGAGTCTTCAGAAGATCTGAGGAGCTGTTTGGCTTGTAAGTTTGGGGCAGTGACAAAACTTCTTTATGTGAGGAAATGAAATACTTCTTTGAAGAGTATAAAAATTTGGTATTCTTTGTAGTTACATGTTATCTTTTATTTGAGGTGATGAAAGGATAGACTGGGGAAGAACAGTTGTTCATGTGCTATAGACCTGACACTTCAGGTTTGTGTTGCTTTTAACTCAAAAGGCTGAATGGTTTGCAAAATGTTTTTATTTTATAGATTGGGCATTGAGGCAGACAAGTGTTACATGGCCTAAATATGCTGAAATTGTTTTTTTGCTATGTGAACCAGAAGGTAACCGGGTGCCTGGGAAAACCTTTTACTAGACATGTGTTTCCAGGAATTAAGTCAGCTAAATATTTATGACTTGTGATTTGCTTGCCGCAAGCCGCATCCATCCATCCATAGAAACATGCAGCACTGTGAACAGGTGAACTTAGGAGCCTTGTGTCAAATTACCTGGAGTTACTTCTATCCCTGTCCAACCACATTTTTGTGGTTAATGTGTGCTAATTAAATGCTAGCAGCACAGCTGAAACTGAACAGCCGTCAGACTCGGGGTACTATGGGCTGCCAAGACAAGTCTCCTGTAAATTGTACAAGACTTGCTGTTCTGGGCTTATGTGTGAGCTTTGCTTAGCACATACCCCTTCAGTGAAGCTTTGAGGAGTGCTCGGGCTTCTCTGACTTGCTGTATAGAACCCTGCCTGTGTTTAAGATCACACAAAAAAGAGAGAGGAAAGAAAGATTGTGGGTTATAATAGAGATGAGGAAATGAATTTTTTTTAATGTTTACTTAACATCATATTTCAGTTTGTAGCACCTTGGAAAAGGTACTGTAAACCCCCTACTCACCCCTGAAATCTTCTCCCTGATCAGAATTTTTTTCTCCAGGGATTCCTTGTTCCAACTTGGCATCCTTGCTGTAACTGCCGTGAATCCTATAACTGACAGCCTCCTTGTTTCCTAGATTGCAACTGTTTAAATATTAAGGCTTCTGTGTGAAAGATCTATTTACTTAGCCTCAAGTATGCTTCTGGTCTAGCTGCATGTATTTAGTGCCATGAATATACAGCTTTTAAAATGAAACAGGAAAAAAGGTGACTGACTGAAATTACTATCGGATCAGGTTGGAGAAACTAAATACTATGCGGATGGCTTCTAGGATAGGTGTTAGCCTATACTCTTCATTTTCTGTGGTATGTGTGCATGTCAACTGGTTTTTACTCTACCTTCTCAATTTATATCAGATTTATAGAAGTCAATCTTAAGAGCACTAGATATTCTCCCTGGTAATGCTTGAAATTCCCTTCTTGTGGAGCTCATCACATAAATATTGAGGAGGAATGGAAAGTGTAACACATCCTTCTGTCTTGGGGAAATTATTAGTGTGGAATTTTTACTAAGATAAAACAATGATTAAAAAAATTTCCAAAAAGTTGCTGAATTTCAATGTGGAGATTATGTCAAGGCAAACAGATTAGTTCCACTCCTGAAAGGTCATGTACTTATGCCTGACGCAGGAGTTCTGCGTTGTTAGATGAGACATGAGATGTCCCTAGAGATGATACCCTTTGCTTACCAGTGATTTCTGTGCTTGGGGCCAAAATCTACCAGTTTGAGGCAGCAGGGCATTAACTGTCTAGCTTAATTTATTGCCAATTAATACAAACTTCCCCAAATTGAATCTTGGTTTGTCCATGATGGTAACTGGTGAGTGATCTCTCTGTCCTTGTCTTGACCCACAAGCTTTTCATTGTTGTTTTTTCCCCGTATTGCCAAGGAAGGGGAGTGAGAGAGCGGCTGGGTGGGTACCCGGCAGCTAGCCAAGGTCAGCCCACCACACTAGTGTAAGTATCCCGAGGAGTTGGCACAGTTTGTGAATGGAAGGAGGGGGACCTTTTGATGTATCTCTATGATCATAACTTGTGGAAGAAGGGGGGTAAGCGGTCATCCTGAGGGTGCTGATGCTTTCAGTTCTGAAAGGCCTCGGTAACCCAACCAACATGTATATACATAGCACCATCGTATTTAAACGAAGCACACAATATTAATAAATGTGTTGCCAACCCTTGCTGCTTGATTTGTTTTGCTGATGCTTCAGCCTAAAGATTGGAAAAAAAGTTTATGAAGTTATTTCTCTGAGTATGCATGAAGAATGAATTTCCAGGAATTGAGGGACTGACTGTATTACATTTGACTGTTAGTAGGTTATTTTCAATGTAACTTTGAATTTTGACCAGATGTTGGGTTCTTTCCCCAAATGTAAAGGCTTGAAATTTTTTGGTTAGCACTTACCCCTTGTTCTGCATCTTTTGTGTTTAGCACTGGATTACGGCGAGACTGCATTGTAATGGGGATGGGAGGAAGGGAGCACTAAGAAGGTATTAAATGGATTTGTCCTTAGATCTAGATGTTATAAAAACTTGTGTGAATCTTAATCTAAAACAAATGGAAAGACTTCTAGGTATTTCTTGATTGCTAATTCAAGAATGGGGAAAAAAGGGACAAATATTTACTGGTAGCCCATGCTAATTTTTGCTGCAGCAAAGACAGATGAGTTCTAAACTTAAGCAAAACCTCCAAAACCACCCCCTCGCCTCAGATTTCCATTTTAGCGTTGCCTTTCCATCTCCATGGATGTTGAAGGAGAAGTGAAGTGCCTTGTTTTGCTGCAGTGTCTGTTCCTAACTTACTGGCAGCAGCTGTACTATGAAAGGTTGCTATGCTACATGTGCACTTAAGTTTATGCGTGGCTATTTTTAAACTGTCACAAGGTAAGGCATGCTTTTGCTTAAGTTGTCTTGCAGCAGTACACACCAAGAATTATTTATGTTCCTAGAAGAAAGGAGTTCTAGTTTTATTTTGAGACTTCATGCACCTCAAGCAAATTACTGTCTTTATTGCTAAAAATGGTGGGGAGAAAAAGTGCAGTTTCTTTCAGAATCTGTGACATCAGTAATTTGTTGTATCTGAGCAAAATAGCATCAGCTTTTCAGTGTTTGGGGATTTTTTTTTTGTTGTGGTTTTTTTTTTCTTTTTTCAGACTAGATATGCATAATTGATGTGGGTTAATTTAATCTATTAATACAATGTTTATGAGAAGTCCCGCTGTCTCTGGGATGGGCTCCATACTTAGGTGCTGAATAACATTTAGTGCAGTAAGTTCTTTTAATAACAAGTTTTGTAAGCAGATGGTGGACTTTTTGTTCTGGTAAAAATAGACATCTGACTGTAGCTTTTATTTCTGTGGTGCAGAATCTCTTTTTTTTCTTTATAATTTTATTTTTAAGAAGAGTTACTGAACGTAAAAGACTACTTTTCTAACTTTGTTTTTTGTTCATCACTATACTATAGACCATAGATTTTAAGGGAATGGTAATGTGGTATTGGTTGTAATTGCAATGGCTTTTATGTTTAAACTTGTACAGTTGCGGAGATACTTGACTGATCTCGTCTTAACCTAATAATAATTAGCTGTACTGAAAAGTGTGACCTATATTAGTGTAGACCAAACCAAGTACATGTTAAATGCTTGTTAATGTGCTGCTGTTACTCTGTTTAGCCAAAAGCAAAAGGTTTGTATCAAAATTCTGTTTTGTTGAACATGACAGTTCTGAGTCTTACCCTTTGTTTTAATTTGTCATAGGTGTGTATTTGCCTTTGTTATGGGAACAGAGTTTTTGTTGGAAAAGTCCTATTGCTCTGGGCTACACAAGGGGCCATTTCTCTGCTCTGGTTGCCATGGAGAACGATGGTTATGGCAATCGAGGTGCTGGTGCTAACTTGAACACTGATGATGATGTTACTGTTACTTTTCTACCGTTGGTGGATAGCGAGAGGAAATTATTGCACATTCACTTCCTTTCTGCTCAAGAGGTAAGAAATAGCTGTGTAGCTGGTAGCCCTTGTCACAGCTGCTTATTTAAGCTGTGGCCTCAGCAATCTCTGTCGCCCCATGTTTTTGCATTTCAAAGAATTATAGGGAATATGCTGTTCTGTTTAATTAATACTGCTCCCTTCCCTATCATTTGAGGTGATTCTGAAAGGTATTTTCCCACAAATTTGATGCTTATTTATTGCTCTGTAAATTGAATGTAACTTCACTGTGCACGTGAATACAGACATACTTTGAAAAGGACCCAGAAATAAGGATTCTGACACTAATGGGAGACTGAAATATGCCTTTTTTTTATTTTTGAGGGTGCAACATAAATATTGGCCAGTAGTTACAGCATGCTCTACCTCTTTTTTTCTAATGAAGCTCAATTTGTTTCTTCTTTAATAACTGTGATAAAGACGGGGAACAATTTCAGTAAAGTGTGTACATGTAGGAAGGGAGGGTTGGAAAACCTGAAGTAATTGCAACAAAGTGAACATTCTGTAGATAAAGCCCATGCTTTTTCTCCTTTAAGTCTAGAGAGGGATATTTTTTCAGCAAGTCACAACATTTGTTATGTCTTACAAGAAGAAGTGTTTCATGTCAAGAACTGCTAGACTCCTAAAAACTGCTTTGTAAAGCCAGAAGGCTCTTTATCCTCCTTATATATAGTCCCTACCATAAATAATTAGTTGCCCACAGATAACTGAAATATTGGAAGGCTATTTTGGTAATGCACCTCTGAAAAACTTAGAAGGGAAGAATAGCTGAAGAATATTGCCAGAGCCTTCAAATTCTGGCTGAAAATGCAGCGTGCGGCAGTTTGGCTTTCGGAGACTCCCAGCTGCGGTGAAGTAGTACGCTAACTCTGCCTCGTTCTCAAGCTGTTTTCTTTTCCCCCAAAGATAGGTAACGAGGAGCAGCAAGAAAAGCTGCTCCGGGAATGGCTGGACTGCTGTGTGACAGAAGGAGGGGTTCTCGTTGCCATGCAGAAAAGCTCTCGTAGGCGCAATCATCCGCTGGTCACCCAGATGGTAGAGAAATGGCTCGATCGCTACAGACAGATCCGCCCTTGTACATCCCTTTCCGATGGTGAGGAAGATGAGGATGATGATGACGAATGATGATGAAGAAACTGAAAAGAAAATTACCAGTGCAGAGTGTCTGACCCGGAGTTAGCGTTCTGCTTTAGCAGTTCGTTGTGGAACGACCCAATTCTAGGGGAAACATGCTGTAAAGGATTTTTCTAACCAGCATGGAGAGAGGCTAGAAGCTCATCTGCTGTGTGAAGAGAGCAAAATGGGCTGGACTACCGTTTGTATAAAAACAAAGAAAAAGAAACAAAAAACAGCTAATTTTATTATCAAGACAGAAAAAACACATTTTTCTTTCTGATTGTAAATCTGTCTATAAATGTACCGCATGTGGTTGTGTAAGAGGTTGTGTAATAGGAAAAGTATACCAGCATCTTAATTATTGCAAAGAAATTTTTCAAATAAGGGCACTTACGAAAGCACATGTTAGATGGATATCTCTTCCCTCCGAGATTCTTTTACAGTAGAACTTGGTATTCTGCATCACCTTTTAGATACTCTGATACATTTCCGTGAAAGGCCCTTTTATGTGAAATCTCACTAGTGCCCAGGTCAGATTGAGGTTTTTTTTGTTTGCACAAAATATCCACAGCAAGTCATAAGCAAAAATACATTCATTATTTCACTAATATTTTAGTTACTGCTGTGCCCATATAATAAAATCTAAACTCTACGGAACAAACTGGAAGAGAAGCTAAATTTTTCATGGAGTGAAATGATTTGTTTCCTGAAAAAGTGTTTTGGGTTTTTTGTTTGGTTGTTTTTTTTAATTTTTTTCTTCTAATAGTTAATAGATTCCTTTCAGTATACATAAGAATATTTATTCAGAGAAGTGACCTAAAATATAGGGATTTTATTCCAGTGAGCATATACTAAACAAAAAATTGTGTGAAATTTGAGAACTCGGACATGATTGAGAATTTCGTATTGTCAGAACTCCGTCTTGCTGTGATACAAACCGTGTATCATTTTATCATTTATTCTTTCATCAACTTAAACATTGCTGCAAATGAAAAAACACCTTTTTAAAGGGTTACTCCTCAGTCATTAAATCTAGTGAGAATACACTTGGCAGTTCTAATTAAAAAGAAGAATCTATGCTAAAGTTGTTTTTAAAAGCACTGTGTTATATATTTCTCAGTATGTAAACCTGGGAATTTCTTGCATGTTGATTGATGTGGCCATACTTAAACTTATGTAAGTTCCTAAGATTGTAAGTTCAGAGTATATTCTCCAGTAGAAATTTTATTATATTTGATAACTTTAGCCATGTAACCTGTAATGGATAAAGTTTATCTAAAAATCTCACTTAAACACTAAAGGTTAATGCCAGTTTTTACCTATACAGTGCAATTCAGGTTGTCTGGAAAAGCACTTTTGATTGTGTGGTGGTTGAATAAGGAATTTTGCAGTAGATGAAATTTGTTTTAATTAGAAGTTGGAAAGAAGCCCCATAGCACATATTTTTATGTAGTTCAGAGCTATGGAAACCCTGAGGAACTTGCTGCTTTTTCTTCCAAATGCTGCTTAGATGGTGTTGAAATGTGCACAACTCCTACATAAACATGGTGACGACACCAAAAGTATAGAAATAATGAAGTACTGTATTAACTTAGCAATTTTCCCATCACAGATTCCATTGAGGTTTATTATGAAATGTCTTCACCTTTTTTTGGCCATTAGATCTCCTCTGATTGGTGCATGCGCAAATTTTCAGGTAAAAGAATGCATGCTTATCTGCAATGTACGTATGATTTACCTGAACTAAATAGGCAAACCGCAGATACTAAAGAGGTTCTTCACAAGCATATGGTCCTGTTTCAAGTTTGCTTTCTAAGTCAGTATGGTTTTTTTTTTTTGGTCCTTTTTCTTACCTTGCAGTGAAATCCTTTCATACCTCATCTAGCTGAGGGTGTAAAGCTTTTCTGTCAGGGGAACTGAATGCAGAGGAAGCTGGGATGAGAATTTCCATCATCTGAGCTGGCCTGCACTGTGTGCTTGGTGGCATCGTTTATCTGTCGTGGTGTAGCCCAGTACACTTCTGGAGGTCCTTCTTGTTCAGGACTGAGTATGCCAGGTTTAGAAGTTCCCGTTCAGTGGCCAGATTGCTGTAAATTCAGATCCTAGCTTACCCAGGATTAGCTTCCTTGTGCAGAGCGCCATTCGAATGGACAGAAAGGATAAGCTTCTCCCTTCAGCAGGCTACTTGAAGGGTGTGCAAAATGCTGCGCAGAATTTTAACATCTCCCCCCGCCCCCCTTTGCTTTCTGCAGTACTGTTCTGTTGAAGGAAGTAAAGCTTCCTCGTAACATGGGGAGAATAACCAATGTGAAAGTCTACCTTGAGCCAAATTCGATGAGCACGCCTTTCCTCATCTCCCGTTGCTGTCCGTGGGCAGCCCGTGTTGTGGCCCGACGATCCCTGTCCCCAGCCAGCACTTCACCATAGCAAGTGGAAGTTCACCATGCAGTCAGTTCAGCTGTTTTTCAAAAGCATGCACTGTGCTCTCCGATATTTACCTAGTTCTGGTATGAGAGGGCAGTCCTGGTACTCCAGAGCTCTTGGCTTTCCTGATCATTATTGTTTTGTTCCGATGTGCTGTAAAATGGTATGTTCAGGTTAACATGCTTCACAGGTCATTTCGGAACTGGTGGAGTATCTTTTTCAGAATCAAAGTAATCCAAACCTCATGTACCTGTAGATTAAAGAGATGCAAACCCCTGCTTTGTGCTAGCACAGTGGTCAGTGTATGTTAATGGGTACTCTCCTTGAATTACATACTTGAAAGTTTACAAATACTGAGATTAATTTGCAAATGCTACCTTGCAGCTTGTCAGCAAGTTCTGCTCTTTTAGCCAAGTATATATATAAAATTGGGTTTCTCAGTGTTATTTTCCTCATATTATTGCTCGCAGCAGCACATGCTTTCCTAGCACAGAACTTGGCTTTTCATTGCTACCTCCTTTACATCTGGTTGTTTTTTCTGGTTTTATTTATGAATTCCTCAGTGAAAATCCCTGTATTTCTTTTGTTTTTAATATATTAAAATTTAGTAATTCTGGATTCTTCCAAAGTTCTGCTGCATGGCTTATGGCAAATATTACTAGACTGTGTTTACTCCATTAACAAAATCGGTTTGTGTGCGTTTAGAGACCCTTATTTAATTGCCGCTTTTCCTTTTCCCCCCCTTTTGTTCAGTAACTTCCCTTAACCCCCCCCCTTTTTTTTTTTAGGTTTTACTTAGTGTCTGTCACCTTCAAGCTGCTTGTTTTAAGCTGCTCTGATGTCCATCATCAATGGAGAGACTCCCTGCCTGCCATCCTTGAGCATGACAACAGCAGTACAGCTGTCAGCAAAGTAACGGCACAAATCCTCAGCAGCAACTGTTTATCTCCTGTTTCTTTGCCCAATAATTTTCCATTTGAGAGTTGCAGCGTGCCGCTTCCCGGTACTTCGGCGTATCTTAATTGCGATGATACTCTTCCCTTTCTGCTTCCATGGGTCTTTGCGTGTTTTGCTGGTGATTGCACTGCAGGCGCTTGAAACCCAACTGCGGAGGGGAACTTCCAAAACTGCAGTCCATTACCAAAACATGTCCTTTAGTTTGTAACCCTTGGGATCTCTTAATTTCTACTCTTGTTGAGCTTGTAGCACTTCAGTAGAAGCTGTCTGCCTACGTTCGCATCCGTCCTTGGGTTTTGGTTGAGAGGGAGGTTGGGTGTTGGATGAACACTACAGCATTTGCTGTTCCCTGTGGGGTCTGAGCTCAGCCTCTTGCTGTCCTGGTGCGGAGTCCACTGATGGCGGCGGAAGCCCGAGGAACCACCGGTGCACGAGATCCTGCGAGACAGGGAAGTACTTGCACCCATCTGGGATGCAACTGCTTATTTAAAAACAAATCACAGTACCAGAGCTAGTTTATTTTTAAAACAACTCTAAACCTTAACACCAATTAAATGTGTTCCTCTTGGTTTTTACCGTCGTTTCAGTGTTTCCCAAATACCTTCTCTGTAACTAAACTGTTTTATCATCCTGGTTTCTTGTGGTGTTCATGGATAATCACTGGCGTGCTATGTTGATCACTGACAAAGAGTGGTCACTCATCTATAAAAGGTGACCTCTTTTTTTAACATGTTTGAAGCTGGTAACTAGTTTTCAGTTTAATTTAAAGCAAAGAAAATACAGAGTTTTGTAACCTAGACACTTTTTGGTTTCACCTTTTTTCAAGTCCCTTTCCAGACCACGGTCTTTGCCCCATGTAACACTGCATGTGCTGGCACTCTTTGACACAATATGAAAGACAGGGTGGAAACAGAAGAACAGGCCTCTTGTCTAGTGAGGCTTGAGGCTGCTGGCACCTCTCACACAGGTTTTCAGCTTTATTCCCTAGCGCTTTGTTAATGCTTCATTTCTCGAGTATGTACAAAAAATGTTGAGGTATAGCTGCTTTTTTGTAGCTTAACAGAAACCATAGTGATCTTTTTCCACCTAAACTGCATAGGATGTCCCATTTGATTTTAAATATTCACAAATTACAGCTTATGGACAGCACCACCTGAAAGTCTGGATAGGAAACTAAATTCAGCAAGCGTTTCCCCAGCAGTGCAACTTAAAAACTGACCTGCACTTGGCAAGCTTGCACCGAGTTTCTGCTGCATTTCTCGGAGCCGGTTGCAGGAAGCCAAGGACAGATCCTTGGCCGGTGCCAATCCTGGCGCTCTCAGTGTCACCATCTTGCGGACTGTGATGGGACCAGGTCCCAGCTGCTGCTCAAGTGCTGGAAGTCAGACTCGAGGAAAACTTACCTGCTCTCCGCTGGGGAATCTTACTCTGTTTCCAAGGAGGGCACAGTGTGATCAGAGTTACATTTCTGTACCTTATGGTGCACTCTCAGTGTCTTCAACTTGAAGCATTAGTCAGATTGCAGGGAGAGCTCTTGCCTTTCAGAAATTATAGAAATTTTATCACTTTTTATTGAAAACTGCACTGAACGCTAAATGTCCACCTTTACAATAAACAAATACAATAACGGTAACACACTAAAACAAAACATACTTCTGATAGCCATTGGTTTTTTTTTTTCTGTTTGGGACAGCTTAAGATTTTTTTTTTTTGTCACAGAAACAGGAATGTACCCATACAAAGGCTCAAAATAGGCCATCTTTTTAAAAACAAAAAGGCGATGATTCACAAAAGACTATGAATATAACATGTAACTAGCTGATACAAATCTAATAGGATTTGTTAAAATCAGTCACATCTAATAACACATTTTGAAGTGTTCTTGTATAAAATATCACGTGAAGAAAAGAAGACTTTTATCAATGTCTAAAAAAGTGGGTTTTGTTCATAGACAGTCTGACAAGTTACCATAAAAAGTGTTTCCTGAGACATAAGGAAATGCAACATTATTCTTGAACCCTTTCCAGCTCAAGACTTTTTCCACTTGATAAAATAGCTGCAGATTTAAAACTGAGAAAATATATTTGAGTACAAATAGTGTGTGAAACTTAATACTTTCTTCTTTTTTTCTTTTTTTTTTTTTTTTTCTTGCATCATTGCAGGGCGTAGGTGAATGCACAGCTACTTTATTCAGTGTATTGGGCAGAGAAGAGACTGGCAGTTTGTTTTTTCATTAGCCTGGGAGGGCAGCGGCCGTTGCCAGGAGCCCTTTCTGCCCTCCCCATCCCACGGATCCCGGCTGGAATGGCTAGAACTTAAACCTGGCAGGAGAACTTCTGTTACACGTCACTGGCCCTGTGAGACTGCAAAAAGGATTATTATTTTTTTTTTTTCTTCCAAGTCTAAGCCAGTACTGATGCCTCCCGTTAGAAGAGGTAACCAGATAGATAAAAGAGTAAGGAAAGGGCTGAAGCCACATAATGGTTTCCTCTAACATTTCTATGTTAACTCTGTAAAGATGGCTTAATGCAATGGTTTGAAAACAGGTGCAGAGGCCCTGTCCTTCCCAAGGAATTGAGGGGAAAAAAAATCTATTTTTTATTCATGTGACTGATGCACAGATGAAGGAAACTTAACACACAATAACAGAAGTTGATCATTAATGTATCACATCCTAGTTTTCAGCGCTTCAGTAAGCAGGTGACTTCTTCAGGGCTTCTCCCCAGTCTTGACTGCTATCACTTTGTCGTTAACACTGGAACATCAATGATGCGTCTGTCCAAAATCAACATTACAAATTTCGTATCAAATTCTTTTTTTAGTTCATGTATAACTTCTTTTCCAATGTCTCTTGGTCCTAAGTTTATTGAATGATTTTTAAATTATCTGCTATTGCTCATTGGGATGTTCCCTGTTGTCCCCGTGTTTTGTGGGCTGGTTAGGAGATGGAGCTTGGGAAGGATGTGCCACTGTGGGAAGATTGTGAGTAACAGGGATGCCTCCGGGAATGATGCCCTCCATAGCTGCTGGTATTCCTCCCGGTGCGACACTGACCATCCCAGGGGGATACCTGGGAGAGGGGACAGAGAGAGGCAGGTTTGTCATGTCAGAGCTCGCCACAGACAGCGCCAATCACCCAACCGCCGTCGCAGAGGCTATGGAGAAAATGAGCAGCAGAGAGATTCCGCTTCTCTAGTAGAGCCGAGTTCGGTCTTTCCTTTAAACTACAAGGGACAGCTCAATGTTAAATCAATGCTGCTGTGTCTTGGGTAAGCATCCTCCACTATGCTACAGGGACTCTGTCTTGTTCTGTACCTTCTAAGAGGTCGTTGAACCATAAGGAAGCCTTTCTCTTTCGAAAAATTGGGTAAGGAATCATCTTGAATGCTCTCCGAAATGCCAAATGCTAGCACGCTGAGTTAATCATCCTGGTGTGTGAATACCTGTGAACACCTACACCCGGTTTGTAAGTTTTCCTTCTATTAAAAGTGAGCTGCATCCTCTTTGTGTAACCAGAGAGCACAGCTGAAAAATGGGGTTGGATCTAGTCCGCCTTCGTTCCTTTCTAAGAGCGGGGCGAGTTACATGTATTCCAAGAAACGGCACTGAGTTTGAGAAAGGAGAAGAAATGCGAATTTCTTGAGCTGTCCGCAGGGAAGGTGTGACCTGGGGGCAACGAGGCCAAAACCCTCTGGAGGTCTGTTGGACACGTGGGGACTGAGGGCTCCAACCGCAAGCGCCTCCCTGCTGCTTCCTTAGGGAAAGGCGGAGGTGGAAGCCGGGAGGGGATGGGAGGATTTACCTGCCCGTAAAGGTGCTGAGCTGACCCCAGCCGCCAGCTTACGGGGGCACCGGGGCCGTGGCTCCCGAGGAGCTTAGCAAGGATGAAGCACCCTGCAGAGGCAGAGGTTAAGCTGGGAAGCCAAGGTTTGTCTTCAGGGTAATGGCATTGCCCACGTGCTTCGGAGCAGGACCAAGGGGGGACGCTTTCACCAGGGCTGGATGTTTCAGCGTATGGGTTCTGCTGGTCAAAGCGAGCAATTGCTGCCTGTGACCCGGAGGCAGGTGCGAGCGTGCGGGGCCACGGCACACGCGTTGCTCGGGAGTTTGCCCTCTCAAGGGCTCCGCTGCCGAATGCGCTCCTGCCTCTCTCTGCCCTGTAACGCGTCCTGATGTGCCCCGCAGGTGCTTTTTGTAGCTCAGAGTATTTTTGGTAACGGTGATATGCTGAAGGCTGCCCGTGCTCCAGCTGAGTCCTCGTGCCTAATGTCTCCTATTGGTGTGCTTTGAGCTGTCCAAAGTGGAATAATAAGCAACCCTAATCTCTGGGATTTAGGTAGAAATTAGGCCACCTGACTAAGGACCTATATTTGGAGTTTTTACCTGGGCTCATTAACCCACAAGCCGGGCCAGGCTCACAGCAGTCAGTGCATGGACAGAAATGCAGAGCAAATCTGCAATTGCTTCTTCCGTTTAGAAGTAATGTCCTGCCTGTTCATGGGTCTGAGTGGGGGGGTCCTGCCATTTACAGAGATGCTGTACAAGTGAGTGCTGGCCCACCAGAAGGAAGGCTTTATAAACGGGAGGTTTTATAAACCCGAGGTTAAATCAAGCCCCAAGGAGGGGAAATTCACAGTCACCAGGTGAGCCAGTGGAGAAGTTGTTACTTGGGCTTTCCTGCTCACTTTATAGCTGGACTCCCAAAACTCTGCAGGGAACCCGCTGCGCTGGTCCTGTTCTCTGGCTTACCTGTACGTGGCACCATTGAGCTCTGGATGAATTGCTTGCTGATCTATTACTGACCACGGAGCTGTTGTGACAAAGAATTCCTTATTCACGCAGTTTCTTAGGCTTTCTGGGATGCGCCCTGGAGTTGGTAATAAAGGTAAGTATGTGTCAGGCGGGTCCTAGCTTTATCACCCTCTAATAAGCTACAGTTTTTTCATTTCACTTTGTTAATATAAAGGATGGGGAAAAAAATCCCCAAGAAGTACCATATCCCTTGTTTCAGAAGGACGTTTTGGCTGTCCTGAGGTGCAGAGTTGGAGGCCAGTTTCCTACCCTCAGTCCTAACTCTCTGCCTTCAGGAAAGCTGTTCCCTTGAGCCCACTGCTTTCAAAGCAGGGGCTAGCCATGCATGAAGCTATGCCTTCCATGTTAACAAGGAGGGCAATTTTTAGGACAAGAGAACCACCCATTTGCTGGTGTATCGTGACCACCACCTTGGAGCGAGCTCAGTTACAGCAAGAGTTGGACACAGGTGCCTTCACTGCTTTGGGATTTGGCTTTGGCATGCAGTTGGCTGTGGTCAGCACCATCTTTTGAGTTAGCACCATTAAAAGGGGCAGCAATTATTGCTTTGCTGTCCTTTTCTTCCCAGTCACAGACGCTAATCTTTGCCAGGCTGCACAAGTGCCCCAATGATTTAAAAAACCCACCAAAACCCACAAAAAACCCTCACCCAACCACAAACGTGCCCAAATGACAGAAAAGTAAAGTTTGCTTTCTCGGCTCTTTTCCTGCTGAGACATGGGCAGGGTGAAGCCCCGTCTCTGCCCCTCCTGGTTCACATTCCAGGCGCACACATGAGCTAACCCCAGCTTCTCTGCAGGGCTGGGTACCTGTGATCGCACGCCGTATTTCAGTAGCAGCAGCTTCTCTCATCTCTAGTGACGCCTGCTCGCTGTACCAAGCGGTGTGGGGAGTACAAATTAAATTAGGAGCATCTTTCAACGGGCCTTGAGCAAAACTGGGAGGAGGGAGGAAAAAAAAAGAAAGATTAATCAATGTTTAGAAAGAATAAAATATGTTACGCATGGTAAAAGGCTTGTGGCCTGCCCTCTGCGTATGCAAGCCTCAGTCCCCAGTACCTCACCTGCGGCACCTGGGCTGGAAGGAGCCCGACAGCATCCTGCCAGCCCAAAATGGCCACGGGAATTCTGGGGAGAAAGCACAGCTCCAGTGCAGGGTGCAAACTGAAAATGCACCAAAAGAAGAGCCAACAGACCCAAAAAAACAGCCTACTGGGTGGTTGGTTGTAACGTTCCCGTGGGAATAAACGCCTGGGGGTGTCTCTGCAGCAGCGTGGGGATGCAGGGACAGGCTGCAGGTCACCGAGCCCAGGGTGGGAAGGAGTAGACATGGGGGTTCCCCCTCTGTAGGAGCACACTTTAATTTTTAAATTGCTTCTGAAAACACAAGCAAACCACTGATGCTACCTCCATCCCCCATCTGTGGTAAGAGGAGTTGTGCTCTCACTTATAACCAACCCCTTCCCAGCTAGCAGCAGCCTGCGGGCAAAAATACCCAACACTCACACAGTACATTTGTTCTTATGCTCTAGCGAGCGCTTTGTTTTTGTTTTTTTTTTTTTTTTTTAAAAACACAGGCCGATTGCTTGTTCTAAGCTCCCACAGTACCTTTGAACACCTGTAACCCCGGTGCCAGCCCACACCTGACGGATGCTGCAAAGGTGCCGCAACCTTTTCCCAAACCAGCAGGTCTGTCCCCCAGCGCTGACGTTGTGCAACAAGGCGCGTGGCTGTTGCGTACAGACGGCAACCCCAGAAAAACCCAGAGCTTTACCTAAACGGTTCAGACTCGTGCACGTCAAGCGCAGCCCCTCGTATCCGTCCTTCCTTCAGGGCTTGAGTTAAGGCCTTCTCGTCCACCAGCCCCCCGCGCGCCGTGTTCACCAGGAACGCTCCCTGCCTCATCTGGAGGTGGCCGGGAAAACAGAGAGATGAGAGTGAGCTCGGTGCGGTGACCTGGTCCTACCCGCACCCCGACACAGCAGCGGGTGCCCCGGGGTGCCTCCTCCCGCGACTGCGCCCCGCTTTTTGTGCCGAGTGGCTGTGCTCCCACCCCAGAGCAATCCCCATCCTGGCGTACATGGGTTTTCTACGGAAAGCCTAGCTCTGGCTGGTATCGGCAAACAAAACCTTCTCCTGCCATTGCCTCTGCACCACGGGCATAGGGCTTGCTTACCTGGTAGCACCAGGTAAACACCGTGGGGAGACAGACGGGCTGTTGGGTGTAATTGGCTATTTTGGAGGCAGCCCGTAGGCACCGAGGCACTGGCTCGCTGCGGCCGTGACCGCAGAGGGACCCACGGCCAGCACCGACACTCGCGGTTTGCCCACTGAAGAGCAAAGTGCTCTCCTCGGTCGTGTGTGCAAGACAAATTACCTGCTTAATCGTGAAGTCGTTGATAAGGTGGTGGTTATGTTCGTTAAGGTTACAGTGCAACGAGACACAATCGCTCTGATAGAGCAGGTCCTGGAGCGTGTAGACCCGCTGGACGCCCAGGGATCTCTCTATCCCGTCCTGCAGGTACGGGTCATAAAATATCACGTTGAAGCCGAACGCTTTGGCTCGGACCGCGACCGCCTGCGCAGTGCGACCTGTGTGCAAAGGAAAGAGAGGAGTTAATTTAACCGATTCCCACCTCCCCAGCTCCACGTGGCTGAGCTGCCCCATACTCTGACCCCCCAGCCTAGCCCGGGGACTGCCATGGGGGTCCCCTGTAACCTCCTGGGCTTCCAGGGAAGCTGGCTGGAAGGCAAATCCAGGCCACCTTGCACAGGGAGAGGTGTGCTTGGCTTCAGTGAGATGTTTGTGTTAAAATAAAAAAAAAAAAAAAACCCAAACAAAATGAAGAGCGAGGCCATTAGGCACCTGCCAGCTCACGGCCATTTGAATACATGGCACCATCCATGCCCATGCAGGTCTGGTGGGGAAGGCACAACGTGCGGCTCAGCCCCACTGACGTGCGGCTCTGGACATTGCAGCGAAATAATCCTCTGCGGTGCTGCGCCTACCAAGAAAAGCCAAAAAAGGAAAGAAAAAAGCACCACCTTCTTTAGGCAACTTGTATGTGATTGATAGGTTTTTCAGCCTCTGGCTGAACGGCTGGTTAATTGGGCAACTGTCGTGGCTTGGAAGCAAAGGGCTACTACAGCCACTGTGCTGGGCAAGGATGTTTGTGGTGGTGTTGGAGACCCCCCTGCCCGTCCCTACCACGAGGGCTGCGCAGGCTCCATTTATCTGTTAATTTTTCCAGCTAGTGGCGGTGCGGCAGCGCAGCACGTGCCTGGTTAGTGGTGCACCACAATGTCCCCCCCATGCATGTACACTCCTGGTGCCCCAGAGATGCCTGGTTGACCAGGGGACATCAGCCCTGGCTGACCCAGCTCTTCTGCTCTAACCTCACCCACCTGCCTTGCCTCAGTTTCCCCATTTAAACATGCTCATGTTCCAGCTTTTTGCACTAATTACCCTAGGGCTTTGCAAGACAACAGCATGAAGCAAATGGGGAGAATGGCTACTGCACAGAAAGCAAGTCGAAATACTGCTGCAACATTTGTGGTCTGGCTCCCAGTCAGTGCTGCCTCGATGGCAGCCGCCCTCCAGCTGCTGGAGGGCACAGGCCCCATAATGCAGCCAGAACTGCTCCCTAAACCGGGATCTCACCAAAATCTCCTCTGCTCAAGTTTCTGTCACTGTGTCTGTGTCTGGCCATGAAGTGCTGGGTGAGTTTCTGCTGCCTGAACCATCTTACGCTGGCTGGACTTTGCTCCCAAAAGGGATGTCAAAGAAAGAGGGCTGACAGCAGAAGTGCTGAAGCTACCGCTGATGATGAAGCTCTCTGTAGCTATGGGTGAACTGAAGACAAACTTTGTTTTACACAGCCCTGCCACCGCGCAGGGCAGAATGGCTCAGGAAGAGCCGGGTTGGTGTAGCCGTGGCTCAGGGATGGGTTTTTTCGGGAGAAGACGGCAGCATGGTCCCTCTTGGGGTGCTGCTGGGTTTCACCAGCGCTCCTCCAAGGACTCAGCCAAGGCTCACAAAATACAGCTCTCATTTTAGGTCCTTCCTGGGGTGCTGAAGTGATGCCAAGTCTTCCTCAGAGGCTGAACACCGGGCCGGCGGTGCTGAACGCACCGTTCGCAGCCTGCCCGCCCTTCGCTAACGTACCGAAGCCGATGAGGCCGAGTGTTTCTCCCCTGATGCGAGCGGCACCGGAGGCCACCTCCCGGATCTGCTCCACGCTCTGCACCCGCGTGCCTTCCCGCAGCGCCTGGTAAAGCCACGTGTTTCGTCGGTAGAGGTTGAGGACGTGGCAGACGGTGGAGTCGGCCGTCTCCTCCACGGCGGCCGAGGGGATGTTGCAGACGGCGATCCCTGCAGAGGCGACACCACAAAGCACAACCGTGGCTCAGGAGGGCAGCCCCGGCCGCTCACCCCATGGCAAAGCAAAAGGGGCTCCCGGCCCATCACCCGTCATTTTTTTAAGCATTTAGAGTAATGTTTTCCAAGGGCGTGCATGGTTTAGGTACAGCAGCCTGAAAAAAACCCACCGTGACCGGTAATGCTGAGGGGTCCCCTATGCCCCAGCGTCTCTCTGGAGCAAGGACAAGTGCAGAGTTCAAGCGCGATAGCTGCGCAGGAGTAATTCCAGCAGCAAAGGTTCGGTTTGCAATAGAAAGACTTATTCTTGTTTAGTTTCATCGACCTTCAAAGCAACTTAAATCGCACTGGCAGAAGTCACTCCTTTTCCACAGTAAGACTGTTCAACCATTGAATTATTCAGGGACCAACGATTTGGTGCACTCGAGCAGGATGGTGCACCAGGTCAGCGTGGCAGGGCCGGCTTCCCCTTCCACCGACAAGCACCAAAACAGTCGACTCCAAACACCCCACGGCAAGGCTCGGGGTGACTGCTACCACCACGGCATGCATACCATCAGCACAGCCTCCACCCAACACCCACACTCCTGCAGGAGGAACCAATCGCTCCTGCCACAAAATTTGGAGGCTTTCCCAAAATTTGGGAAGTGCAGAGGGCACAGCCAAGCCGGAGCAGCTCTCCCGCCCCAGCACCGCCACCGCACACCCGCCCGTCCTGGCGCGGGTCTCGATAACAGACCTTTTGTTCCTTTGCCACAAAAGGTTTATTTTGTGGCGTCCCCACTTGGAGCTGCAAGTATTAAGTTCACTGAAAATGCCTCATCGATCACTGCCCCGTCCAGGCTCAGTAACGTGTGTAAGGGTGTGCTTAATTTCACATCTATTCAGCAGAGCAGTTAAGCACATGCTTGTATCCCACCAGATTCAATGCGATTTAAACACACATTTAAAGATGGATGTGTATTTAAGTGCTTTACTGGACTGGGGCCTTTGAGCAGAAACCATGAAAAAGTAGGAGATAAAGACAGAATAAGATATTCAGAAAATCCCCTTCCACTGTAAGGGGCACTGATTCAAAATCAAAAATCTCTTTCCCATCCCTCTGCCAATATCCCTGCTCCCAGGAGCTGCCTATCTGTTTTTAAAACCGTTTTCTACCCTGTGGCTGTCTGAAAGACCTACAGAAATTGGGAGAAAAACTGACTGACCCTACAGGGTGAAAAAACCCACCACCAGCCAACCCCTGAAAACACTGTCTGCCTCCTCTCCCTTTCAGGCGACAAGGACACGATGCTCTGGTCCCCACGAGCTCTGTTATTTACTCTTGTGCCCCCAGGAGCAGGAGCTGCCGGCACCGGGAGGGTTAAATACCCACGGTGGATGGTTCAACACCAGCATCTTGTCCTGGGGGTATTTTCTGGTGGGTCGAAACTGGTCCCACCAGCCCAGCCAGCAAGGTGCAGGCGGCCGCTAGTGTGCAGCCAGGCACCGCGTTCAGACACTGGCCATTTATTGACTGCACAGTTTAAAAACTACCTTATGGAAAGCAATACCAATTAAACTTTACGCTACATTTGTGGGTAGTCATTACATTTTCTACTCGAAACCACATCATTTGGCCACCCAATTTGCCAAGTATAAAAAGAAGGATTATACTGCAGTATCCCATTACTTTATTCGTTATATTTTTCCTTTCTTGATGTTCAAAGCCTCAGAACATTGTTATAATGGATAATAACAATAAGAGTTAAAAACATGAAGAAACCATTACATTGAGAAGACACTGTTCTCCTCTTGAAAAAAAATAATTCACTATATTGAGAATTGCTTTTTTAGGAATGACTATTTGAAACTCTCTTATCGCAATTATCTTTGTAAAACAGCTCACGTGAAATGGCCGTCATTCTTCACTTCCCCAGAGATAACCTGTAATACAAGATATCCTAAACACTGTTGTAGGACTGCTTGATAGAGTGAATCTTGGGATCAGATGATCAAAAGCATTTGTAACTCAGCTGCTAAAATAATGGATACAATTAAGCTCTCGCATGGGGGGGGTGTGCACCCAAAGGTCTCTGTGACCACCCAAACCAGTACAGAAACTGGGTGGCCCCAGCACCATCTGACAGCCACGCAATGCAGGCTACACGCACCCCCCCGAACCCAGCTGTGCAGAAAAATCCCACAGCTGGACATAAGGGCTCCTTTCTGACAATGTGAACCTCCGTATTTTGGCAGTCCATGTGACATGTACCCACAGTAAATGGCCTTTGATGAGATGGCAAAGGAGGTGGCAACAACCCAACACAAAATTCCTGCTCCACCATCCGACACGTCACCTTCCCAGTGGTGTGGGCATGACTCCAAGAACCAGATCAGATCAAAAGACTAATCTCACTTAACAAAACATAATAAAACACACTTCCTCCAATTTTTCTGAAGCTAGGTCAACTGTCGTGTGCCAGAAATAGAACAGCCATACAAATATCTGTTGGTACAAGGGGGCATCTGGAACTAGGGACAGTGTGGGAACAAGGGACTCAGATGGGGCAGTTTTAACACAGTATGAGCCTAAAAGCTGCCTTCTAAAACTGCACCATTTCGTTTACTTCATGGTCAAGTTTTCTTGTCGTAATATTCTCTATGTGCAAAAAATGTAGACTGCACCTGTAATTTTAGGGGCCGAATCACCCCCATTTGGAAGGTCCTGCCTGCAACTCCACTTTGCCAGCACGATCCTGTGGGAAGCAGCAGGTACTTGTGCTGATTTTAAAGACTCGGGGGGATGTAGGAGGGAATGGGGTGCAGAGCTGAGACCTACCAAGCTCCCCCGCAGCTTTGATGTCAATGTTGTCGTAGCCACTGCCTATTCGAACAATGACCCGTAAGGCCTTGAACTTCTCTAGATCTTCTCGAGTCAGCGTGATGGTGTGGTACATCATCGCCCCAACAGCTTCATTTAATACCTGGAACAGAACAGACACGTCAGGAGCCACCAGGACACCTGGAGGGGACACCTGCAGCTCCTCAATCAGGAATATTACACAGTAAATTGTACGTTTTTACTGCTGGCCTACTGTCTGACCCAGGCACGGTGCAAGCCGACACTTCCAGGTGTCACCAAAACCATCAGGGGTGTGACCCACCAACACCGAGGCTATTCCCTTTGGGAACAGACGGGATGGATATCTGAAAATTATGACGTTACATCTGGGGAGACAAGACAGAGGAAAACTGAGCCAGTCGCTCACCCGGACCCTTTTCCAGGTGGCTATCTGCTAATCCTTCTGCTTCCAACCAGCAGTAATTCTACTTTTAAACAGGAATTCGGTTTTAGAGCAGTATCTATTGTTTTTGAACACAACTGTGTGTCACTTACTTATAACTCCTTGACCTTCTTTTGTACACTGGAAGTACAAATATCTGTCATACTGTTCACATTAACCTTTCCTGTATCTTTTCAAGAGTACCTAAAAAGATTTGTGTGAGGCTGTACAGTCACATAAGGCTGTACTCTGTCCCCTTCAATGGAGATTCAAACCTTCATTGCTGTGCACCATAAGCTACCCCGGAAACCCCAAACCGACCCAAATTCTCCAAGATTGGCTCACCTATGATCTATCAAAGTCTTATAAAAGATCTCTGTCCTCCTTCCCCCACATTTAATATTTGAAGCACTGCAAAGATCAGCACTGATGCTATCTGTAGTTCTCTTTCCCAGATCCTGGAAGTGATTTCTGATCACTTCAAACCTCCTTTGAGTTATCTAAATGTGCACAAAGAATAATTTTAAAAGCAGTATTTACAAGTAGTTGAGCTTCCAAGCAGAATACTGCACGGCTCTGTCTGCACGCTGCCCAAACCTCGCCCACTCACTGCTGGGGAGAAATAAGCTGGGAGAAACGAGCAGCCCATCAGCTGCAGCGCAGGATGGTGTTAGCAAAGCCAGAGCAACTGCGCCGCATGCTGGGGAGGTGCAGAGTTCTCTTACTGCTGCACCGAGCAAGCAAACTTCAAAAAAAATGAGAAACGTTAATAATACTGATGTAAAAAAACCTGATGTGAAGAGATAAGGTGACTCTTTTTTTCCAGAAGAACATCTGGCTTCTAAACCAGCCTTGATGAATTTTAATCTGCAGCGACTTCTGTCGATGTTATCTGCTGACCGACGCAGCTTTGTATGCTTTTTGCTCCAGAAGAACTGGAAGACGAAGGCCAGAGCACACCGTCCCCCAGCCCGGCCCGCCCGCACCCTCGCAGTTCGTGTTACCTTCTCGTGAATCTCCTGAGTTGATTGTGCGTCACAGAATGCAACCGTCGCCAAGTCCTTCAAAATGGGCATCTCCACCGTACAGTCCCTCCCATCCAGCAGTGCCACGAGGGGCCGGGGGTGCATGGGGCCGTTCATGATTTGAGGGCGAATACCTGCAAGCAGAAGAAGCGCAGCTTTTACACCGGCAGCAGTGGCAAGGTGCCCCCCGGCAGCACGGTTCCTGTGTCGGGTGAGGTGGTTTCAGCCTGTAAAACAAATTTTGGGGGGCGACGGCAATGCAATGCGAAGTTTAGCCTAAGGTTCGATTTTCTGTCTGGGAGTATGGCTGTGGTTTTGCCCCAGCTGGAGAGAAAACGCAGCGAGGCTTGCTCCCAGGACAGGGATGGACAACCCCATTTCAGCCACCTGTGACTTTATGGTGGTGTATCTCCACTGTGCTGATCCTCACTGACACAGGCCCCGTTTCAAGCAACCCCCCCTAAGCCAGAGCTGCTGGCCTCTTCAACCGTTTTATTTAGCATCTTAGGAGTGAAACCCAAGCCAGCAGTAACTTTTTCCCGTCTGCAAGGAAGGCCAGGATTTTGTTCCGCAGACATACACTGGCACTTGGTCTGGTTTTTTAAGGACTGATCATTTTGACCACCTCAGAGAGACAAGTCTGAACAGCCATCCACTAAAAAAAAAGGATTACTGGAAAAGCAAAGAAAGAGCAGGACACCAAAGACCTCTTTAGCATACAGGCATATATTCTTACTGATTACCAAAAGGCTTCAAGGTAGGAATGGCGAAGCTCAGCTTACTTTTCAAAACCAAAGCCGGTCTATCCCTGCATCCCATAGGATGCTCTGGGATGTGTGGCTAGAGCCAGCGTGAAGGACCAGCATGTATGGGATGAAACGGCTACAGACCCTGCTCCGCCGCTGCAGCGAGCACACTCGTGCCAGCGGAGGACACTGCTCTTCTCACACTTACACACACCTCTCTGTGGGCTGCTCCCTTGAAAATATGTGTATTCAGGGGTCTGCTCGGCTGTGCTGCTTTTTTTCTCATTTCACAACAACACGTTCTCCAGGCGGAGGTGAGGAAAAGAACGATCACCACCAAGGGCCGCAGAAGCCTGATTTTTATATCCTATTTATTGCTCTGCTGGGGATTAACTAGTTCATTTTTGGACAAGTCACTTAGAAATTTCTACGCCTCCATTTACCACTCAGTGAGGCCATTTATTACATTAGGACTGTACAAAATATCTCAGCTATCTTTTTCGGCTACCCAGGTGGTTTCTGGGAAAAGCATAGGTGGGGGGAGCGGGTGCTCTGGGCACAAAGCGATGTTTTATTTCTGCTGCCACACCATGAGACGGCCAGACCTGGAGGGTTTGGGTTCAAACCTTCAAACCCCCGCAAAAGCAGCCCCAGCAAGGTCCTTACCAAACCCCCTCCTTCTGCACAAGGACCTTCCAGGGCTACCAGCCAACGTCTGACTCGCTTTTAAGCACTGCGGTTGTGTGATCCTTTCATTGAGGGGCTAACAGACACACTAAATGCCTTCACTGCTTCTGGATCAGAGCGTTTTCCCCTGCCACGCTACATCACGGGTATCACGACTTCTTTCTCACAGTGAAACTGTGGATGTCGGTGAGCTGGACAAGCACGGGGCTTGGCTGAGGGAACTCCATGGAGTTGTTTTTTGGGTATTTTGGGGGGGTCAAACATCTCACATGGGGTATTACAGAAAAAATGCTACTGTCTGTGGCACTGTTTGAGTAAGTCAGACTAAAGGCGAGAGCGGGAGGCTCCTTCGCTGGCCCTCGCGTGCAGGGCTGGGGACCGCTCCAGCCCTCTGGACTGTGGTCAACGCCAGGAATCGTGTCACTGCAGCCCCATGTGCCAGAAAAACAACAGTGAGGGAAAGAAACTAATGAGAAGAGCAACGCGCTTGATTTCTTTTTTTTTTTTCTTTTTTTGTTAAGGGAAAATTAAATGTGCCTTTTTGTCCAGATTGCTGTCGGGTAAAGTATTAGCAAGATCTCCACCAGCTGATGCGCATGTGACAGACGCGGGCGCTACGGGCCAAAGCGATGGCTCCCAGACTGCGCCGGCACCAACAGCATTGCCCTGGGGAGGGATCTACACTGCTGCGTATGAAACGCGGGATAGCACGCAGTTCCATTTATTTTACATGGGAAAAAATAACCCCATGGAAAAAGGCAGGTTTAACGGAGTGGGTTTAATGGCGCTCTGTTCCTATTTTGTTGCATCTGCTTTAAGAAATGAAGAACCAACCAACCCAGCAGACCTGACCAAAGATTTTCAGCATTACACATGAACGTTTTTGGAATAGGTCCTTCTCTCTGTCTTTCCTACCGAGATCTCCATTAGCATGGACTGGAAGTAATACATTATGTTTGCATGCATTTCATCCAGATGGAAGTGCAACTGTGTCAATAGGCAGGGTAGAGCGCCGAGACGATTTGGATAACTGAAAGAAGCTTGCCATAAGCAGATAAGCAAGAATAAAAACATGTACAAATCTCAGAGCGCTTACACAATCCCTATGTGAAGCACTATACCACAGCTAGATTATTTTCTCAGGTTAACAAGCGAGTGAATTGTAACACTGACTTAAACGCTTACTAACGTGTATGATCTCCAAGGCTTAGAGCATCACCTATCAACCTCACACCGCAACTGTAAATAAAAAGGAATCCGACGCAAGGACAAGGTGGCCGTGGTGGTCCCAGCCCCGGTGGCCACCATCCCTGTCCCCAAGCCGCAGAACCATATGCCTCTGGGCTAGCTGAGCTCGGTGCCCACTGGGGACTAGGACCATCCTCAGGTGGAGCAGCAGGCACACGGAGGCTGGCGGTGGCTTTCTGCGAGCCTGGCACATGGAAGACGAAACCACAGGTTATCTGAAACTTTGACATTTAATCTGAGCCCCAAAATAACGGTTTTATTATGCTGCCATTACATAAGCTTCTTTGAAAGTCAAACGAAACACAGCTTTTTTTTTTTTTTTTTTGAAACAGCATCTGTGTCTTTGCTCTGGATTAGGGATGTAATTGTGCATGATGACACAGGCTTCTTAGGCATGTCACCCTCGCCCGCACACAAAAGTGCAGTCGCCGAGGATGAATGCCGGCTGGAAACCGCGAGGTAGTCAGAGGAATGTCTCTCATTTCTCCTACTTCAATGAGGGAATTTACTTCAGCTTGACAAGGAAAGTTTTGAAGCAAATCAATACGAGATGAAGTGCATAATGTATGGAAATTACGTTTTAATAAAAACCATTGGCAGGTTTGCAACTTCAACCGCAGTATATTTTCCTCGCCTGCCTCTCTTGTTGCCTCTCCACCACCCTGCATCTATTCTTCACCGTCCTGGTTCCTACCTCCTGCAAAAACACATTCAAACTGAAACATTTGGGCTGACAAAAGCAAGCCAAACTCAGTCCGCTTTTCTCTTTACCTAAGCTCATACAGCACGTTTGTTCTGCGTGCGACTGCTTCATTAAGAACAAGGTAAGCCACGGATCAGAAAGTAATTAAAACAGCCAGACACTCCCCCACTACATTCTGATAAAAACATCGCAGCCATTAACCCTTTCGCTCTGCCACGCGTTGTAAACCCACCGGGCTCACTCCACCGAGGGGTACGACGGGGTGTAAACCAAACCCATCGCTGCCTCCACAGCGGGCAGCAGAGCGGGCAGAAGGCAGCGGACCAGCTCTCCTCGGCGCTGGGGTGGGATCAGCTCTCCCTCCCAAGAGCCTCACCAATTTGGTGGCTCTCCCCGCCATCTGAAGCTCATTTTGCCGATAAACCCCCAGCCATTCTTGCAAAGTTGTGGCGAGTATTGTTCGGTATGTAATTTTTTTTTTTAAGGTGTTTTCAGCTGCCTGCGGACCCTCGCCAGCATTGCAGGGAGAGCTTGCTAAGGAAGAGGGAGAGGAGGAAGGGTTTATGGAAAAAAAAAAAAAAAAAGGAAAAAAAAGAAAGGCTTTGCAGTCACACTGAGAACTCAAACTCCACCCCGGCTCACAGGCAGCGCCGCTTGTTGCACGCAGCCCCGCGTATAAAGTGCTTTTGTTTCATTTTTAATACACAAAGCCTGCTTGTCCTCTCCTGCCGCTCCTCCCCTTTGCCACCCACTTGTATCCGATCCCAATGGCACCCCTGCCAAGAGAATTAGGGAGTGCTCCCTGCTAAATGGCAGCCTTTGTGTGACCGCAAGACGGCTGGTACTATCTCACAGAAACAAAAGCAGAAGCCATTTGCCTAATTCTTATTAATCTCAGTTGCCTACGCCACGCAGCATTAAAAAAAAAAAAAGGCTTTAAACATGTTCACTTGCAGTATATAAAAGTGCATCAAGAAGCAATCCTGACACTCGCCTGAATTACCCGTTCACAACAAAGTAGCTACAGTTTTACAGTCAACTACACACTTTATTAAACAAACAGAAAAGAAACAGGAAATTTCCCCTTGCCTGGAAAATGTTGCCTCCACATTCTTCTTCTTATTAAAAACCACACATGGCAGTGGAGGAGGAGGGAGGGAAGAGAAGGGGGGGGAACCCACACACGATAAAATACTACCACTTTTCAGTGCGTTGCCTCTCCTTTCGTCTACGAGGGGGTATCTTCAAACAAGCAATCCCGCGGCCCACAGCTGCAACATCTCAAGACAAATGTCTCTTTGAACACGGAGGGAACAGAAAAGGCTTTTGTCCTGAGCCACAGAAGAATAGTCTGAAATTGCGAGAAGAGTTACAGTCACCTCTGCGCGGCTCCCAACTCTTCAGAGCACTCCCTCCAGACTTTGCCGAAGCTTTTAACTAATCGTAGTTCTTTCCCAGCCCTTGAATAAAATCATGTGAGTGCCAGCCAAAAAATCTTATGCTATGCACACTAAAGGGTTTGTATATGTCACAGTTGCTTTTTCCCCCTTCCACTCCCCTCCTCCTATTGACTTGCACATACGGCGTTTTTTTTCCGAGTTGTCTCAAATGGATTTAATCTGTGCCACGCTGCGTTTTATGTTTGTTTGGGTTTTTTTGTGTGGGTTTTTTTTTTTTAAACTTAAAAATGAAACATGCCTTTCCATGCGGAGTATATTGAACGAGGCTCCAGAAACAGGCTGATAGCCTT